AGGACCAAGCACTTGCCGACGAATCCAAGAACGGTCCGAGTAGTATGGAGCAGATGATCGAAGTACCCGAGGATCGCCAAAAGGGCTTCGTCATATTTCCCCGGTCCAGTGCGTTGCAGCCAATTGGAAATTCTGCCACTCCCAAGAAATCATTTGTTGAGTCGCTCTCCCTCTTCGACGGTAGAAAGACGAATGAGAGGTACTGGGTGCTCCTCTTGCGGCCCTTCCCCCTCCTTGCAAACCCGGCCTTTATCTGGGGATGTTTGATCCAAGGAACCATGATCGGGTGGACTGTGCTGATCGGCGTCATCCTTGCTGCCATCTTCATCGGCCCGCCATATCTCTGGAGGGAGGTCGAGGCTGGATATGCCTACACGGGGCCGTTCATTGGCGCGCTGATCGGCTACCTCATCTCGGGGTTGCTTGCTGACCCGTTGGCCAAGTGGCTCACCAGGAGGAACAATGGGATATATGAGCCCGAGTTCCGCATCTTGCTCGTCATCCCCATGCTCATCATTGGCTGCACCGGGCTCTTCGGTTTCGGCCTCACCGCTGGCCTGGTCATCACCAAGAAGTACACATTCTGGGTACCGCTGACCTTCTTTGCTCTCGAGGTGGCCGGTATGGTCATCGGAGCTGTGTCGAGTTCTCTTTACATTGTAGATGCCTACCGTAAGTCTTTCGGTCTAAGACCCTCCTTTCTCCGATGAGATTCCGACATTTTTGCTAATTCACCTAGGCGATCTTACAATTGAGGGTTTCACTATCATGATTATCTTCAAGAACATTTTCAGTTTTGGCCTGACTTTCAGTGCATACGACTGGGTGATTGCTAATAACGGCATCAGGAAGGTCATGGTCGCCGCAGCCATAGTTCAGGTGGTCGTGTGCCTTCTTAGCGTTCCCATGTGTAAGGCTTTGTTCTCAAACCCACCTTTTCGAGCCCGATGGGTGCTAACAGTTACTAGATATCTATGGTAAGAGGGTGCGAGCCTTCTATCATCGCAATGACCTGCTAGCCATGACTGGCCTTCGCTAGTGGTTCATCTGGATTCTACTAGCTAATTCTTTAGGGGCTTTCGTTGTTGGTCTTTTCTTATACCCGCTCCGAGTTACAGGAGTCTTGTTCTTGGACCGCGAGGTTCATTCAGCGGGCGCATATTGGTTGAGCGTCTTGATTGGTTCTATTTGAATTTGAAAAAAAAAAAAAATCGAAAGAAAAGCAACTAGTTGATGATGGGTTGGAGTTGGAGTTGGATTTGGTTGGACATCAAGAGCATACCACCTAATACCATTTAATAGCAATCCCATATGTTTTCACGCACCGACTCAAACTCAAGTTGATCTTTTCGAGGGGGTTGATCAAGATGAATTCAAAAAATTGAACCAAATAACAGATATCTATGAAACAAGATCTGGCTTCTAACATGCCCGTCTAAATAGCAGCATCTATACCCCTCCATCTATAGCTTTGGCTTGGTAGTCTTCCGAGGGTCCCGCAAGTTCTTCGAAATGTCCCCAGACAGCAAGAACTCGGGATAGCTCATGCTCTCATCCAAGCCGACCTTGACGTCGCCCTGCCTCCTCCAGGCGGCCCCGTCGACGGGAATCACCTGGCCGTTGACGTACGTGCCCGCCTCACTGAAGAGGAAGACGGTCGCGTCGGCGATGTCCCTGACGGTCCCCAGCCGCCCCGAGGGAATGGACTTCACGTAGCTCCTCCTGTCCTCCTCCTTGCTGCTGCCCAGGCGGGCGAGCCCCTCGGTGCCCTCGATCCCACCGGGGGAGATGACGTTGCTGACGACGCCGCGGGGCCCGTACTCGAGGGCGACCGAGGCCATGAGGGAGTCGACGGCGGCCTTGGCGGCGGAGACGTGGGATTGGAGGGGCATCCCCGTGAAGTGGAAGGTGGCGGAGACGAAGACGATGCGCGGGGAGGGGCTGCGGAGGAGGTGGGGGATGGTGGCCTTGATGGTGTTGAAGGTGCCGAGGACGTCGATGTCGATGACGCTCTTGAAGGCGTTGGGGCTCAGGCCGTCGATGGGGGCGATGAAGTTGCCTGCTGCGCCGGCGCTGTTTCAAGATTAGAAGTTTGAAGAATGGATCAGTTTTGGGGTGGGTTGAATTACATGACGAAGTCGATGCCTCCCAGTTCCTTGGCGCATTTGTCCGCTGCGGCCTTGAGAGCTTCGGGCTATAGAGAGACGCGTTAGACATGTACTCAAGGCCAATGTATCAAGGGAGAACGCTGTTCCCGTGCGTAACTCACGTTTCGAACATCACAGCCTCCGATGCCAATGACCTTGGCACCTGGCCTCGCGAGGGCAATGTCCTTGGCGGCGGCCTCAGTCTTCTCGACGTTGCGGCCGAGGATGCAAGCATTGGCGCCCAGGCGCACAAGTGCTCTGGTCTGCATGCTGCATATCGTGCCGGCGCCGCCAGTCACGAACACAACCCGGCCATCTAGCAAGACGAAAGTTAGCGATTGATGCAGGAACACAGGCGCGCGGGGATACCGGGCCAGATTCGGGAACGATCGACTCACTGAAGATTCCGTCCCTCCACACGGGACTAAGATACTCGCTCTCAGGGACCGTCATTCTGCTGGTTGGGGTCACTGGCGGTCTGTTGCTTGCAACTTGGTAGATGTCAGCAGCACGTGGAATAGCGGATGTCTAGAGGAGAGTAGAGCCTCAGGCAATGGAAGAATAAAAGAGGAAGTAAGTAATAAAACCGCCGTACGCAATAATTGATAAATATCTAAGTCTATCCGCCAAATCCGAGACGGTGTATTTAAGTAAGATGACCGAAGGAACAAAACAGTGGTTGGTCCAGCTTTGCGAATGCGATGAAACGAACCTCGGTCGAATTCAAGTGGAGCCGCGCGGATCAAGAAAAACGGGTCAGATCTGGGGTAGAATATGACTAAAAACAAAACGGTTAGCCGCTTACGTAAAGTACTTCCGGGACGCCACAGGCACATCAGAACGCCACAAATCAACAGCCACTTCCATATCAACACCCTCGAAAATGATAAACCGGAATCTTCCACACCGCAACTATGGTGGTTAAAGCTTCGGCTGAGCTTCTGCATGTTGTGATGTGGTGGCGTATGGTTACCTACTTTCTGGTAACCACACGCCCAGCCTCTGGAGTATGAACGTGGCGTTTTCAGGCAGCTCTGAGCTGCAGCCGGATGGCTTGGCTGCCTCGGGATCATCCTTGCCCTTCTATCTCTGACTCACGCTCATATACTCTGTTCATCTTCATCGACACCGCATCTTTGAGCCTAATAGTACTAATGCATGATGAGGGCACGGAGAAGGTTGGTGGGTTGTCCATTCTCGTGACTAAGGCTTGGGCCGTGTCAACCCGAGACAGTGATCTTCCGTGGCGTATCTAGCCGATGCATATTGGGCTCGACGATGGGCTTTTCAAAAAAGCCCATGTTGCCCAATCTTGCGCTTGGGAGAAAGAAGAATGGCAGACACCTCACCGCTTTACCATGAATATCCATTGTCTTTGAGGTCACAAGAGTTACCGAGATACGGACTTTCACCTCATTGGCTCGACATCTGAAACGGTTAGACATGCCTCGATCCAAACGGGAAACCGGTGAGCTGCAATCAAGGGCTCATGCTCCAGATCCAGATTGCGATTGGCCGTTCCTTGCCTGGCAAGAGGCTTGTTCTTGTCGGGCTCAGATCGCTTCGGGATCGGCCCGGACATGATCACGCGAGCACCCCGGCTTGATACGTACGTACGGATGGGCTCTTCGTCTCTTCAGCATGCGGGGTCGCTGGCCGTTCTGATCAATCACTTTGGCAAGCTTTCTGGCCCATGTACGTATTCTTGGCCCTGTAGAGGCAGAATCGCCCTATTTCGAGGCTCCACGTCTTCGAGAAAGAAAGAAAAGCAAAATAGGCGCGCCCTACCCAGATCTCGGGGATTTCCACATATGCAGTGCATTCGCCCACCATCGATCTACGTGGCTGATCGTTTGACCCTTACCGGCTAGCCACCTCAGCAGCTGAACAAGATCAGCCCTACTAGTTCAAGATGAGGGGGGGGGATCAAGGAAGATTTAGGTGGTAAGCAAAATGTCATCTAAATCTCTCCATCTTCATGCTTAATAGAAGTTATACCTTAATTGGCTGCTGGGCGGCCGGAGTGACCGATCCGTCCTATCTTGGCACATAAGCTTTAACAACAGTCATTGGGAGCAAAGTCCACGATCCAGGAAAGCTGGCCGCAAAATATCTCTACCCGCCCAAGTATGAAGATTGAGGTAAATAGACGCATCTGTCGCCACCGCCATCTCATGCTATGTACGTTGGTTGACCGGTAAGCGACGTTTACCCCTCCCCCCTTCGGCTACACACCGCTCCCGTGGATTCTCTGCCATTTGCCCAGATGCCTCCATTCACGAGGCACAGCATATGAGACATGAATTGGGCATGACGTAGGAACTTGGGGGTAATTAGTCTTCCATATGACTGAGACAGCATTTTATAGTTGGCCTATGATAGGACGCGATACTCAAAATATGAATTAGCTAGGATCCTTAACAAGGCCGCCGTCGATAGCAGACGACACGAGGAGCCGACTTTGGTGGCAATGATAATTAGACAATGATCATGGCAAGCAGCAAGGACTGCGGCCAGGAAAGAATTCTGGCAGAGAAGCTAAATTGGCTGTGTATGAATATTGTTGCTAGCCAACAACTCCTCCCAGTCCGAGGTATAATAATAAAAAAGAGAAAATAGTAAACAGAGGGTGAAATATGACATTGGAGGGGGCGGGGCTATGAAGAGCAACAAAGTGTAAACAATAGGCGAGATGAATATGGCGCATCTCATGCTCAGAGCGCATCCCACGTCGACATGACACCTCCCTTGGTTTCCCAAACCCCCATCCAGTCATTATCCTAGCCCATTCCCAAATCATAATTTACCGAACCCTCCTACAGTCTATGCAGAAGGGTCACATCTACACGTGCCTTAAGCACACTCCCCACCATCTTCTTTCCGGGAATCCCCTTCTTCATCGCATTTTCGTAGGCATATTTGCCGAACCCAACGCTCGTTATTTACCGGCACAGAGCGGGCAGGAATCAGGTGAGACAATGTACCGCTCATGAGGACCTGTTCTGCAGACTTGTTGGTCTTGCCCGTCTAGTTTGGAGGCGTAGAAGTGGACGCCAGGGTCGCGGCAAGCCGCGTAGATGTAGTAATTCGTCACGACGTTGCACATTTTTGCAGATTTGTACAGTTCACGGTGAGGCTGGCTGGCTTGTGGGATTAGTTTCATGTCACGATAAGGGGGAAGTGAAACGATGCCATACCTGTTGCTGGGATATCACCAGCAGTTTCTCGTTATAAGAAGTAGAGTGCTTTATGGAGAGTAAGCTTCAAGTGAGGATTGATGAGAGTTGAAGTCAAATAGCAACGGTGCCAAAAACTATGATGGCGAATGTGAGTAGAGATGGTTGATCTGAGAGAGAAAAGGTGGCTGTAGGAAGTAGCCTCCCTTGCTCAATGGCGAGGCCAAGCATCGTCTTATATCTCCTGGCCTTTCAGCCCGACCTACCTTATCACCGCGTTTTGCTCTCCACTTTACTTTATTGACTCTCATTCGGAATAACTACATGCGAGTAGCTAGATACAATAGTGGCACCCCCTCGTCGGGCAGAAACACAGTGGGATACATCATGTCCTCGCGGGGTGGGTGGACGGACAGGAAAAACGCGGGTTGCTCGTACGCTCAGCCAAGTATACAGGACTCCTGAATGGCGAAAGTCACAATGTCTCAGTCCGAACGGCCAAATAGTAAGTTACGTAGTTGACTAAGCTCATTTTCCAGACATACTTTCTCCTAGGGATCGGCTCTAAGCGCGAGGCAGGGTGTGGCTGTTTCACATTCTCGTGGGGGGGCACACGTCTAGGATCCATCATGTGAACCGAACAGTAGGTCAATGCAGATGCTAAAGACAAGAGAGGCGGTCCCAGCTCTCTCGCCATTTCTTTCCCAGCTGTAGAGGAATTAATCAATCGGAGCTAGTACCAAGGAAGTAAGAGCCGGAGCTATCAGGTTACATTCCGCCCCCATCTTTCACCCTCTCGTTTCTTTCCTATTTGTCCTTTCTAATCTGGTTGTTGGGGAGTAGCTGTGTGAGCAATATACATGTAGCCAGTTATACAGCACAAGCAGGGATACTATGACATGCATATCTACGAGACTCTCGTAGGGAGGAATATCGGGAATGTACTTACAGTGACTAGCAGGCAGGCATTGATGCCATGCGAGGACGGCATGAATGATGTACAATGCAGCTGATGGCCCCATAGAATTGAAACTCGAACCTAGCGAGAAATGATATTATATGAACAGAGAAAAGTCTTGCCCGAGACTATATTCTATTCTAATCACCAAAAAACTGCATGTACCTATGTCCATAGTTCAAGTGTCTCCATATACCAGCACCGGGCTTGGGAACAGAGCTGATAGTATGAGCGGTGGCATGGGCCAACGCGCCAACAAAGGTATATGCCAGTCCAGTGCAGCTACTCGCCCAATAAATCAGCCAGGATCCGTGGTGGCGCAATTCCACGCTGGATAGGCGTCGGAGGGTTGTTAGATGCAAGACTAGCCAGACAAGGGTGATGGGATGGCCGCGAGGTTCGACTTAGACCAGCCTTAGGAGGCATGTGTTGCAATTCCCGCCTGCAGCTCGAGCCTGCTGTCTTTCTCTCCTGGGGAAAGCCAGTGCAAGTAGTCGTGCATGGTCGCTATATGCCGTCTCTACTTCGACAAATTTCTTCGATCACCACCGCTCGTGAAGATCCAGACAGAACATCATGTCTCTTGTTGGTGTCTCAGCCATTGATCAGCCACTGGACGATCTCAGCAGCCTCAACATTTGTCTGCCACTTGCCTACCGCGGAAAGTACAAAAGATACTGGGCAGGTACATGGACGGTCGGACGGCCTTTATCGCCTTGGCCCCAGACCGCCGGAAGACTTAGACAGGTACTAGCTTCAGGTCTGGGAGATCCTCGAACGGCCCGAGCACAGCGGGCGGACCGCTGAGATCCAGCGGTTTAGCGTGACGGCCATCACTCCAAGGCAAGTAATGGATGTACCTGTACATCTACAGTACTTACCATGAGTTGCCTGGATATTTCGGTATCATTACATTACTTGTGGAATAAGGAAGTCATCTCCATATCATGCTATATGGCGATGCAAAGAAAATAAACCAAGAACAAGGAAGAGCAGGAAAGGCGAATGAAAGCAGGCATCGCATGACCATGGCAAACAGACGGGAAGCGGGTTGACATGCAAATGCATTTTTAGAACAACGTGTGCCAATACCCTCGCATGTCTCGAGCCGAGAGTTTGCCGAAATTCAATTTAAACACACTCGTCTGGCAAAGCGCGCTGAGCATAACCGAGATCGCACTTAACCCAGCTTCCTTAATGTAGGTACCTACCATGGGCTAGCTGGGCTTCCGACTGTAAAGTCCGACTATCAGGGTGTTGGACTAAAAAAGAAAAAAGTAAGAATACAACTGCAGGTAAGACCGGCAGTGCCAAAATCAAAGGTCTTAAAAGGAGGAGAGTCAGAATACGAGCAACGGAGTCGGAAACGTGGATTTCAAGCTGAAAGATGTCGGTCTTAAGAGCCAGAATCGCCAGTGGGGGTCCGTTCCTTTACCGCGTCGCCTCGCTACATCTACGTATGATCTCAGCAGGTTTGGATATTATCGACTCTGCTAGTAGTCACGATGTTTGAAGGCGGCCGTATTTCGGCTTCGGCTTGACACGCTCTGCTGCGGGTCTTACCTACCCGGCACCAGGTCTGCAAGGAACACACCCCAGATTCAGACGAGGAGAGGACCCTGCGTAGGTCCTCCGGCAGGCAGACGGTCGTTGCCGGTTAGGAGTTGGGCAATGCCTCTCCAGAGACACGTCTCAAACCCATGCGACTCTTTGTCTCTGTGTCGCCTTTAGGGGTTCAAGGACCGGTGTAGCTTTGGCAGTAAGCCGACATGCAGATAGTGCTCTCGGAAGGCAACGAGATATTGATGCACAACATGTGGGGGAACTGGGGGGACCAGCGGAAGGTACCGGCGAATGCTAGGGTTAGATGGCCCAGGAATCGCCTCTCAACAGTAATTACTACTGATGATGTATCACCGGGAGCCAAGACCATCGGGCTATTACGCTCTCAAGGCCGAGCCCCGACCGGGTTCCGTCCCGTGTGTATCCACCAGTGCGACCTCACTTTATCAAGATTAGATACGGATTCTCACGTCTACCCCTTCGACATCGTTTCAAGGGAAAAGGCGGTATCTTTAGAACAGCACCTTGATGGTTAGTCAACCAGTTCACTGAGTCAGACACTCAATAGGAGAACTTCCATTTGTTCAAGGCGTGATGACTGAGAGCTGAGCGAGTTGAAAGTCACGTCGATCTTAAATCTACCTGATGAGAATTTTATATCTTGCTTATCTATTGCAACCTTACACGAGGTGTCTTTGGTCGGACCAGAATATACTGACTCGGCGATATTATCAGCAAACCATCTACGCTAAACATGTAAAACTACCTAGCGATGCTCCGCCATGAAGAAACTGCCAGATTATGGCATACCGTTCGATCCGGATACGCTCCCTGGTGTGATTGTCACTGGCATTGTTCGAGATGAGAATATACTGATGATGCTCAAGCTGATTTTAGAGAAGGGATATATAATGACTGAGGAGAAATGAGATGAGGAAGTGAAGACTGCCTCAAGTAGCGGACACCAGCTTAAATATTTTTAAACAATTCGTCGGTGCTAGCACTCTGCAGCTGGGAAATTTCAACTATCAAGTCATCCGCGAAGGCTGAATACCGTTGCTTTGTTTGTTCGAGCACTCGCAAAATTCGCTGGTGAAGCTGATCATTATTTTTGTGGAAGTTGGCAGGTCCACGAAGTCCAAAGTAAGCTTCCATCACCGATGCTCTATTAATCCACAGTCGACGCTACGACTGCGATGGATACAATGATTCTGCACAATTTAATGCAGGTGACGTGCTCAGACCAGGGCGGGGCTCAGGCTCAAAAAGCGGCGTTGCTCAGGAACTGTTGCAAGTACGCGTGCCGTATTTCATTGTTTGCCTTTTATGTTCTTCAACCTCGTCGGTGTTAGTGTGGCATGCCCGGCTTTAGCAAAAGTCTTTGGTCAAAACTGCCTCGATGTAACAAATCAATCCCATATCCACGCTTGCTACGCCCCTCATCTCGGATCTGAGGTCGAGTATGAAACGGAATCATATCGTGGGGATAGGTGCCATGACCCGGATGATTTCCGATTCAGGTGCGATCTGCACTGAGGCAGGGACATGGCCAAGGTATCATAATAATCTGCGGCTCTCTTGAGCATGGGCGTAATATTACGTCAAAACTCGCGAAACTACCGATGGCCTATGTACGGCCCACCCCGTGTATAGATCATAGCGGCAGATTGCCATCATCAGGCGCATGAAAAGCGAATGGATAGTAATATGAGGTTGAGCTTGGGAAGGTTGCACCGTTGTGGCTCAAGCTCCGGCAAGTGGCGTGAGGTGATTTGTGGCGCTAGCGATTGAATCGAGATCGACGCGGAGCTCTTTACACGTGACTGCAATTTTAAGATTGGAGATTGGTGGAAGGTGCTGCCGCCAGGAACCACTATGGGCGAGCCAAGTTGGGGAAATGGAACCAACCTTGAAGCTACAACCACCTATGGCCACCATCGCTAATCCACGAGACCGGTTATCCTGACGCGCCAGATACCTACCGCAAACCCCATGTTGGAGCCAGTTTCCCTCCCCTAGCCTGGAGCCAGCGACTCGAGCTCGGTCGCTGTTTGACGTGGTGGGGGGCTTCTTTCCGACGGCTCTAACCTACAGCACCCTTTGAATCTTCAAGCGCGGCACTTTTCCCAGCCGACTTCGCCCGCTCCTACAATGACCGAAAACTCGCCTAGAACTGTACGCTTCTCCGGCGGCGAGGACGATCTTGATCGCACCAACCCTACAAGCCCAGCCGAAGGCCATGAGGAGAATGGCGACAAGGCTGAGGTTACACACGAGGGCCAGGACGGGCTTGGGTCTCTCAGCCCGTACCCGGACTCCGCCGTGAACCAAGGCCCTCTCGCGGGAACGATCGCCAAGACGATAGCCAACGGTATATCTCGCAGTCAGAGGAGCAATGGCGACAGCGAC